ATGTGGACCCTTTTGGCCTTAAAATGGACTAATTTGAAAACAGGGCCCAAAATTAATAAAATGCTCCGCTGGGGCGCAGCTTGATACGACCGCAGAGGTCGAACCCTGAACAGTTGGGGCAAGTATGGACACAACATTCAAGCTTGATACAGCACTGAATTTGGATTGTAATTAAATATTTGACACAGCATAGGTTTCTGACACAGAATGAAAGTGGTCTAAGAACTTAAAATTTTTTAATTTACCTATTCAAACCATATCATTATTATTTGCTTTTATATATAAATCAGAAATGACCAATTTAAAATGGAAAATTTTAAAGAAAAAAAAGGAAAAAATCCCCCCCCCAAATTTCTATACAAACTGTAAGACTGATTTTTGTCGAGCCTTCGACTTTTGTCGAAAAAGCGAGACATAGCGATCCTACATTCCGTCGGCGTCGTCGTCGTCGTCGGCGGCGGCGGCGTCCACAAATATTCACTCTGTGGTTAAAGTTTTTGAAATTTTAATAACTTTCTTAAACTATCCTGGATTTCTACCAAACTTGGACAGAAGCTTGTTTATGATCATAAGATAATATTCAAAAGTAAATTTTGTAAAAAAAAAAATTCCATTTTTTCCGTATTTTACTTATAAATGGACTTAGTTTTTCTGCCAAGAAACATTACATTCACTCTGTGGTTAAAGTTTTTGAAATTTTAATAACTTTCTTAAACTATCCTGGATTTCTACCAAACTTGGAAAGAAGCTTGTTTATGATCAAAAGATAGTATCCAGAAGTAAATTTTGTAAAAAAAAAATTCCATTTTTTCTGTATTTTACTTATAAATGGACTTAGTTTTTCTGCCATGAAACATTACATTCACTCTGTGGTTAAAGTTTTTGAAATTTTAATAACTTTCTTAAACTATCCTGGATTTCTACCAAACTTGGAAAGAACCTTGTTTATGATCAAAAGATAGTATCCAGAAGTAAATTTTGTAAAAAAGTAAAAAATAAATTCCATTTTTTCCGTATTTTACTTGTAAATGGACTTAGTTTTTCTTCCAGTTAACATTACATACAGTCTGCACTTTAAGTTTTTAAAACATTTATTAGATTGATAAACTATCCTGGATTTTTACTAAACTTGGACAGAAGCTACTTACAATAAAAAGATAGTATAGAGAGGAATATTTTTATTAATTTTTTTCCTCATTTTTGTTGAGCCTGCGATTAACAGCAAAAGTAGGCGAGACACTGGGTTCCGCGGAACCCTTACAAATTTTTCATAATAACATTGAAGTAGAATTAAAGTCTTATAGGATTGTAAGTATGCTTTATTTTATCACCTTGCACTTTCACGACTTGACTGTGGTTTTCTACAGCAGTTTGTTCAAATTTCTGACCAGTAAATGAACAGTTTGGGTTTATAAAACAAATTGCAATTTGGTCAGAATTTTGAATAAGTTGCAATAGGTGGAGAACAACACTAACAGTCAAGTCACAGTAAATTCATTGATATTTTCCACTTGTTTTACATGTTTTGGAAAAAATTCCCAAACGAGATTTCAATGAGACTAAAACATCAGAAAAATACATCCTTAAATATCTGCCAGCAAAGCAAAACATTGTGAACACAACATCAATTTTCATGATATTTTCCATGTCTTAGGCATACATTTTTCTTAATGTAAGTAATCTTCAACGAAATGCAATCTCCATTCAGAAATATACATATACACCTATATACAAAATGTCAATAGTCCATTCAGGAGGGTGCAAGGCAACATACACTTTAAGAAAATGAGATGTCCCAATGTTCATTCAACTGCCTAAGAAATACCATACCTGTCAACTCACCCGTATCCTGCAGGTGTGACCCGAGATTTTCACAACTCTGAGGGTTCACCCCGGATACCCGCTGGGTCGTTAAATAACCCGGGAATTCCGAAAATGACATGTTTTCAATACTTTTCACCCGGATTCTTAAGCTTTCAGACTGATTTCATAAGTGATTTTCCTTTGAAATACCGGCAAATTCGTTATTCTTCCTGGACAAGAAGTTCAAATAGCTGTGTAAACTCAATTAAGAGACCCATTTTAGTGCATGGCTTCACTTGACAGCTTTGGTGTCAAACACACTGTTAATTAACACCAATTACCTTAGGCTAGCTTTAGGTCGTAAATAATTTGTGTATTTCAAAGTTGTTTCACAAAAAATTTGAGTTACTTCCCCTTTTTGTCACATTTCAAAATATACTCCTTAAATTTATGTTTATTTTTGTAAAAAAGATGAAATCTAAAACAAATTGAATGCAAATATGTATTACATTATTACTTTTCATTATTTTTCTACCTTAGTACAATAAGAAAATAAATAGTTGAAAATTATTTTTTTCATCTCTACTTCCTTTAAATGTTTAACTTTTTTTTATACTCTAATGTTGACCATACGAGGGCTGCATAGCCAGTCAAGGTTGTTAAAAACTCCCCATCATCATTATACTCTACCATCAACCAATCTTTAAAGATTTTATAAAACTGTACAGATAGATGCACACTAACTGTCTTGTGACTGGTGAACTGATTATAATACAAGAAAGTGGGGTTATAACTTTGCTTGTATTGTTAAAAGTATTTATGAAACAACAATATATCAAAATCATAAATGCATTGCAACAATAATAGTTTTTAATTATTTTCAGTTAATACTTAACCATTGGAGATCATTGGAACATGTTTTGGATACTGTTTGTTTTAAAATATAAAAAAAAATGTCCCCTAAATACTTAAATTCAGCTTGAAAAAAGTTTGTTTGCGTTATGACCTGAGATTTTATTCTTCAATGCAGGTCATGACCTGCATTTTCATTTTCATAGGTTGACAGGTATGAAATACCATTGATCTATAACAAATGGTTCCCCTTATAGTGAGTGACTTAATCACAAACTTTATTAACGGTTGATGCTGCCATCCCCTGAAACAACCTACATGTACCTAAGTCTCACCTCAGCAACTTCTTTGAAACTTTACTTAATATGTACAGTATGTATAGTATACTTGTAAGTATATTAACAAAGCTGAAAAAAACTTGTTTGTACATCTTCATTCTACAATAAGATCAATGTCTGTAAGTGTTACCATAAAATTCCACTCAAGTACAATTTCCATAAATAACTGGTGAAGGCTTGAATTCCAAAAAATAGGAAGGCCCTAAATTCCAAATAAAAATGTGCTCCGCCTGAAGTAGCTAGATAAGACCGCAGAGGTCAAACTCTGAACAGTTGGGGCAAGTATGGACAAAATATTCAAGCTTGATACAGCTCTGAATTTAGATAGAGATTAAATATTTGACACATTATAGATTTCTGACACAGAATAAATGTGGTCAGATAACTTAAAAATTTGAAATGGGACATTTAATCTACTTAATAGTCCAATATCCAAAATCTAGTTCCATGGTTAGATTCAGCATATAAAAAAATAAATGTGGATAGTGTCCACATGTGGACACAGATGATGCTCCCGCTTGCATATCATATAGTTATAAAGGGACATAACTGTGGTTAGAGGTCAAACTCTGAACAGTTGGGGCAAGTATGGACAAAATATTCAAGCTTGATACAGCTCTGAATTTAGATAGAGATTAAATATTTGACACATTATAGATTTCTGACACAGAATAAATGTGGTCAGATAACTTAAAAATTTGAAATGGGACATTTAATCTACTTAATGGTCCAATATCCAAAATCTAGTTCCATGGTTAGATTCAGCATATAAAAAAATAAATGTGGATAGTGTCCACATGTGGACACAGATGATGCTCCCGCTTGCATATCATATAGTTATAAAGGGACATAACTGAAGAACGGTAAAAGTGACGCTACCCAAATTTGAACTTGATCTGAGTTTTGTGGTAATAAGCATTGTGTGTAAGTCTCATAATATTTGGTTGAGGCTAACTAAAGTAGAGAACAGAAACTAAAAATTCAGCATTTTTTCTATTTGTTAACACGCATAACTCTAGAACGGTTGTGTATAAGTTTTATAACATTTGGTTGAGACAAACTAAAGTTAGAGAATGGAACATAAAATTCAGCAATTTTTATGTTTATAAAGGGACATAACTCAAGAATGGTAAAAGTGTTGCCATCAAATTTCGTACTTAATCTGTATTATGTAGTAATAAGCATTGTGTATAAGTTTCATAACATTTGGTTGAGGCAAACTAAAGTTAGAAAACGGAAACAAAAAATTTTTACTTGATCTTAGTTTTGTGGTAATGAATATTGTGTATAGGTTTCTTAATGTTTGGTTGGGGCAAACTTAAGTTACAGAATGGAAACTAAAAATTGTGCAATCTTTCGATTTATAAAGGGGCATAACTCAATAATGATTAAAGTGACACTACCCAAATTCAACTTGATCCGTGTTTTATCAGTGGAAGTCAAAATTAAACATTGCATTGTTTAAAGCATTGATTGTAGTTGATTCAACTATAATCATGGACAAAGGAAGATAACTCCAATTTTAATAAAATTACTTGATATTTAGAAGAAAATAAAAATTTTGCAATTTTTCCATTTCTAAAGGGGCATAACTCTAGAATGATTAAAGTGACGCCACCAAAATTCAAACTTGATCTGTGTTTTGTGGTAATAAGCATTGTGTATAAGTTTCATAACATTTGGTTGAGGCAAACTAAAGTTAGAGAACGGAAACCAATTTTGGGACATATGTACATACAGACTACGTACGTACGTTCGTACGTACGTACAGACAGACAAGGGCATAAAAAAACATGATTTCAAACAAAGTTAAGATGTGGACCCTTTTGGCCTTAAAATGGACTAATTTGAAAACAGGGCCCAAAATTAATAAAATGCTCCGCTGGGGCGCAGCTTGATACGACCGCAGAGGTCGAACCCTGAACATTTGGGGCAAGTATGGACACAACATTCAAGCTTGATACAGCACTGAATTTGGATTGTAATTAAATATTTGACACAGCATAGGTTTCTGACACAGAATGAAAGTGGTCTAAGAACTTAAAATTTTTTAATTTACCTATTCAAACCATATCATTATTATTTGCTTTTATATATAAATCAGAAATGACCAATTTAAAATGGAAAATTTTAAAGAAAAAAAAGGAAAAAATCCCCCCCCCCAAATTTTTTGAACCCCCTTATGATTCATCACCCCCAAACTCAATCCCAGCTTTCCCTTTGTGGTATGTTACCTTGCAGTACAATTTCAGAGAGATCCATACACTTGAACACAAGTTATTGTCTGGAAACTAGTAAAATGCTTGTTTTTTGGCCCCTTTTTGGCCCCAAATTCCTAAACTTTTTGGGCAATTACCCCCAAACTCAAACCCAGCTTTCCCTTTGTGATATGGTACCTTGCAGTACAATTTCATAAAGATCCATACACTTACACACAAGTTATTGTCCTGAAACAAGAAAAATGCTTGTTTTTTGGCCCCTTTTTGGCCCCAAATTCCTAAACTTTTTGGGCAATTATCCCCAAACTCAAACCCAGCTTTCCCTTTGTGATATGGTACCTTGCAGTACAATTTCATAAAGATCCATACACTTACACACAAGTTATTGTCCTGAAAGTAGAAAAATGCTTGTTTTTTTGCCCTTTTATGGCCCCTAATTACTAAAATTTTGAGGGAATTACCCTCAAAATCAATCCCAGCTTTCCCTTTGTGGTATGGTACCTTGCAGTACAATTTCAGAGAGATCAATGCACTTGAACACAAGTTATTGTCTGGAAACTAGAAAAATGCTTATTTTTGGCCCCTTTTTGGCCCCTTATTCCTAAACTTTTTGGGCAATTACCCCCAAACTCAATTTTAGCTTTCCCTTTGTGATATGGAACCTTGTAGTACAATTTCATAAAGATCCATACACTTACACACAAGTTATTGTCGTGAAACTAGAAAAATGCTTGTTTTTTGCCCCTTTTTGGCCCCTAATTCCTAAAATTTGGAGGCAATTACCCCCAAAATCAATCCCAGCATTCCCTTTGTTATATGGAACCTTGTGATACAATGTCAGAGAGATCCATACACTAACACACAAGTTATTGTCATGAAACTAGAAAAATGCTTGTACTTTGCCCCTTTTTGGCCCCTAGTTCCTAAAATTTGGAGGCAATTACCCCCAAAATTAATCCCAGCATTCCCTTTGTGATATGGAACCTTGTGTTACAATGTCAGAGAGATCCATACACTTACACACAAGTTATGTCTGGAAGTTACAATAAAATGCTTCGCTGGGGCGCAGCTTGATACGACCGCAGAGGTCGAACCCTGAACAGTTGGGGCAAGTATGGACATAACATTCAAGCTTGATACAGCTCTGAATTTGGATTGTTATTAAATATTTGACACAGCATAGGTTTCTGACACAGAAAGAATGTGGTCTAAGAACTTGAATTTTTTTAATTTACCTATTATGGTCCAATGTCCAAAATCAAAATACATGGTTAGATTCAGCATATCAAAGAACCCCATATATTCAATTTTTGTTAAAATCAAACAAAGTTTAATTTTGGACCCCAACTTGGACCAACTTGAAAACTGGTCCCATAATCAAAAATCTAAACACATGTTTAGATTCAGCATATCAAAGAACCCCAAGAATTCAATTTTTGCTAAAATCAAACTATGTTTAATTTTGGACCCTTTGGACCTTAATGTAGACCAATTTAAAAAAAACGGGACTTAAAATTAAAAATCTAAATACACGGTTAGATTTGGAATATCAAAGAACCCCAATAATTCAATTTTTGATGAAATCAAACAAAGTTTAATTTTGGACCCTTTTGACCTCAATATGAACCAATTTGATAGCGGGGCCCACAAATAAAAAATCTAAATTCATGGTTAGATTCAGCATATCAAAGAACCCCATATATTCAATTTTTGTTAAAATCAAAAAAAGTTTAATTTTGGACCCCAACTTGGACCAACTTGAAAACTGGGCCCATAATCAAAAATCTAAACACATGTTTAGATTCAGCATATCAAAGAACCCCAAGAATTCAATTTTTGTTAAAATCAAACTAGGTTTCATTTTGGACCCTTTGGACCTCAATGAAGACCAATTTAAAAAAAACAGGACCCAAATTAAAAATCTAAAAACACGGTTAGATTTGGCATATCAAAGAACCCCAATAATTCAATTTTTGATGAAATCAAACAAAGTTTAATTTTGGACCCCAATTTGGACCAACTTGAAAACTGGGCCCATAATCAAAAATCTAAATACATGTTTAGATTCAGCATATCAAAGAACCCCATATATTCAATTTTTGTTGAAATCAAACAAAGTTTAAATACTGGACCCTATCTTGGACCAACTTGAAAACTGGGCCCATAATCAAAAATCTAAACACATGTTTAGATTCAGCATATCAAAGAACCCCAAGAATTCAATTTTTGTTAAAATCAAACTAAGTTTCATTTTGGACCCTTTGGACCTTAATGTAGACCAATTTAAAAAACAGGACCCAAAATTAAAAATTTAAATACACGGTTAGATTTGGAATATCAAAGAACCCTAATAATTCAATTTTAGATGAAATCAAACAAAGTTTAATTTTGGACCCTTTTGACCTCAATATGAACCAATTTGATAACGGGGTCCACAAATAAAAAATCTAAATACATGGTTAGATTCAGCATATCAAAGAACCTCATATATTCAATTTTTGTTGAAATCAAACAAAGTTTAATTTTGGACCCCAATTTGGACCAACTTGAAAACTGGGCCAAAAATCAAAAATCTAAATACATGTTTAGATTCAGCATATCAAAGAACCTCATATATTCAATTTTTGCTAAAATCAAACAAAGTTTAATTTTGGACCCTTTGGACCTTAATGTAGACCAATTTGAAAACTGGACCCAAAATAAAAAATCTAAATACACTGTTAGATTCGGCATAACAAATAAATAAATGTGATCAAAGATTTTACAAATCTAATGCGCCATACTGTGCAATTAAAGATTACTTCTTGAAATTTTTCAATATTTGAAATTTGAAAAAAAAATAATATTTGAAGAATAATTCTTTTTAATTTCTGAAATCTGAAATGAGAAAAAATTGACCCCCCACAATTTCTTTTTATCCCCCCCCCTTTTTTCCCCCAAAAAATTCTTTCCCTCAAGATATGGTCAAAATCTCAATTCAAATTTCCAATGGAGTTGGCAACCATAATTACTCATTTAAATTTACCATAGTGCTAACTTAATCTATTTTATAATAGAATTAAAAATATAGTTTCAAATCTTTCATATGGATTTTTTTGTAAAAAAAAAGATGCAACATTTGCAGATATTTTCACTGGTCTTCCTTTATAAATATGCATTTCTTTAAACATAATTTAAAAGCAGTGTAAGGGAAGTAACCAAAACGTTGTATTTGGATTACCTCCCTTACACTGTTTTAAATTATCTTTATTGTTCATTAACCATTACTTTATACATAATTTAAAAGCAGTGTAAGGGAGATAATTTCAATGATGTATTTGATTTATCTCCCTTACACTGCTTTAAATTATGTTTTGTACTAAAGTATTTGTCCATTAACCAGGACAACCTTGTTTTTCCCCCTTTTTTGCCCCTAATTCCTAAACGGTTTGAGCCATAACCCCCCAAAGCAAATCCTAACCATCCCTTTGTGGTATGGAAACTTGTAGTATAATTTCAGAGAGATCCATACACCGTTCCACAGTTATTGTCTGGAAACTAAAAAAATGCTTATTTTTGGCCCCTTTTTGGCCCCTTTTTGGCCCCTAATTCCTTAACTGTTGGTACCATAACCCCCAAAATCAATCCCAACCTTCCTTTTGTGGTATTAAACCTTATGGTCAAATTTCAAAAAGATCCATTCACTTAAACTAAAGTTAGAGTGCGAAAACCAATGTGTATTCGGACGACGACGCCGGACGACGACGACGACGACGCCGGACGACGACGACGACGACGCCAACGTCATACCAATATACGACCACAAAATTTGTTTGCGGTCGTATAAAAATGCTTATTTTTGGCCCCTTTTTGGCCCCTAATTCCTTAACTGTTGGTACCATAACCCCCAAAATCAATCCCCACTTTCCTTTTGTGGTATTGAACCTTATGGTAAAATTTCATTGAGATCCATTCACTTAAACTAAAGTTAGAGTGCGAAAACTTATGTGTCTTCGGACGACGACGACGACGACGCCAACGTCATACCAATATACGACCACAAAAATTTTTTTGCGGTCGTATAAAATAAAATTGGTTTCTAACCATAAAAGCCCATTTAAATACATCATAAGGTATTAAAATAGAAAGTGACATCATAGTCACAGCTAAAAATAAACAAAAATCCTTAATCAGCAACATTTAAAGTAATATCTAAAAATAAAATTCCTTTGTAACCATAAAAGCCCATTTAAATACATCATAAAGATATTAAAATAGAAAATGACATCATAGTCATGCCTAAACATAGCAAAAAACCCTTAATCAGCATCATTTAACAGTAATATCTAAAAATGGAAATTACATAATAAAGGTATTAAAATAGAAAATGACATCATAGTCATGGCTAAAAATAAACAAAATCCTTAATCAGCAACATTTTACAGTAATATCTAAAAATAAAATTCCTTTGTAACCATAAAAGCCCATTTAAATACATCATGACAGATATTAAAATAGAAAATGACATCATAGTCATGGCTAAACATAGCAAAAACCTTAATCAGCATCATTTAACAGTAATATCTAAAAATAAAAATTTCTTTGCAACCATAAAAGTAAAATAGAAAATGACATCATAATCATAGCTAAAAATAAACAAAAATTTTTTTTATTACCAAATTTTAAATGGAGTTTATTAAACTAAAACAATAAATTTGCAACCATAAAACCCCATTTAAACACATCATAAAAGTATTAAATAATTCAACTACATCATAAGGCTATAAAAATAGAAAATGACTTCATAGTCAAGGCTAAAGGTAAACAAAAAACCTTCATCAGCAAAATTTTATATTGGCAAATTTCCAATGAAGTTTATTATACTAAAATTGTTGGCAAATTTCCAATGCATTTATTAACAATAAAGTTATTGGCAAATTTCCAATTTACATAATTTAAAAGCAGTGTAAGTGAGATATTTAAATGAGTTTCAATTACCAACCTTACACTGCTTTTAAATAATGTTTTGTACTTAATTGTCTATTAACCTGGAAACCCTTGTTTTTTCACCTTTTTTTCCCTTATTATTTAAAGGTTTGAGCCATAACCCTACCCCAAAGCCAATTCTTAAATTCCAATGTAACCTAAATTTACAATATACATAACTTCAATTTAAGTTTTTGATAAAATCAAACCACATCATTATTATTTGCTTTTATATCTAAATCAGAAATAATTAACCAACTTTAAGTGGAAAATTTTCACACATCACGCCCCCCCCCCCCCCCCCCAAACTCAATCCCAGCCTTCAGTTTGTGGTATGGTACCTTGCAGTACAATTTCACAGAGATCCAATTACTTAAACACAATTAATTGTTGGAAACTAAAAAAAAATGCTTATTTTTAACCCCTTTTTTAGCCCCTTATTCCTAAACATTTGAGCAATTATCCCCCAAACTCAATTCCAACTTTCTCTTTGTGATCAGAATTAACCAACTTAAAATGGAAAATTTTAAAGAAAAAAAAAAGGAAAAAAAATCCCCCCCCCCCAAATTTTTTGACCCACTTCCCTTTGTAGTATGGTACCTTTAAGTACAATTTCAGAGAAATCCATACACTTGAACACAAGTTAATGTCTGGAAACTAAAAAAATGCTTATTTTTGCCCCCTTTTTTGGCCACTTATTAATAAATGTTTTGGGCAAACATTTTACAATAATATTTAAAACTGAAATTAATTTGTAACCTTAAAATTAAATAGAAAATGACATCACAGTCATAGCTAAAAATAAACAAACTATTGGTAAATTTCCAATGGAGTTTATTATACTAAAACAATAAATTTGCAACCATAAAAGCGCATTAAAATACATCATAAAAGTATTAAAAAAATTTAACTACA